TGGAAAGGAAGAAAAAAAAAAGCTAGTAAATATAACTTTTAATATGGAAATAAAAATAGCAAAGACATGAAGACACARAGCTTTAATTTTTCAACTCAAATGATTATTCTAAAKTTAATAGATTTGTTATTGCCAAACCCTTCCCTTCTAAAAGACATATCATCTCATCCCATCTAATTTTAAATATATGTTTTAATTGTTCAGAGTMAATGAAATGTCATTGGAACTTGTCATTAGAAGTTTTGTGAATGAGGTTGGATTGCTTACAGAATTTAATTAAGCTTTGGATCCTCCTGCACCCCTCTGGCCTAATGAGTTGGAACCCTCTCAGACATATCTCAGGGATTTTCCTAGATGGAAACAGCTTCTAAGAAATCTAGTAGAAGAAAGGGCCCAGAGGTATTTCTATTTTATTTCCCTTGAAAGATGTAGCTACACTTTTACCCTCTTTGTTTATTACATTTAATTTTAATGAGGTATTTCAGAAAAATGCCATTAAAATACTTTCCCAAAGACGATACCTTCTATACAAAAGAGAAAGAACAGATGGAGCAGCAGACGATGATTTCTAAAATGTTTGTGCTGCTGACTTAGGATCTTTCCTGCAAGTGAATGAACAGATACAACTGGGCATGGAGAGGTATTTAAAAGAAAAAAAAAAAAGGAAATAAAATTAAGGCCCTGAAGAGGTAGAATAATGGTTCCTCAGAGATGACCATGTCCTAATTATCAGAATCTGTGAATATGTTGTTACATGTCAAATTCAGGAATTAAATTTGTAGATGGAGTGAAGGTTGCTAATTAGCTGACCTTAATAACAAAGAAATTATTACACTGTATTATCCAGGTGGACTCATTGTATTCACAAGAATTTTTCAATAGTTTGGAAAAAGAAGAAGAGGTCAAAGTTTCAGAGATGCTTAAACATGATCTGTTCCTGGTTTTGAAGATGGAGGGAGGGCCATCAGTCGAGGTATGCAGATGGTCTCTAGAAGTTTCGGTAAGTGAGGAAATAGATTCTCCTCTCCGGGACTCCAGAGAGAAATGAGGTCCTACTTACCTTGATTGCAGTCCAGGGAAATGTCCAATGGATAGGACTTTGGTAAATGTGTATTGTTTGTGGGTATTGGTTAAACAGCAGTAGAAAACTAACATAGAGACATTCATATAATGTAAGACTATAGCATCATGAAAGATAATTCAACAATACCCGATTATGTGGGAAATATTTATGCTAGTCAGAAGAGCAGATGATGACACACATGTATAATGAAATACAATGGAAAAACATTYATTTGCATTTTAGCAAATAAATTATATATCTAAAGATATGCTATAAAATGTGTTAGTTATGGATGATGGGTCTTTTTTTCCCCCACTTCTCTCATTATCAGATTTTTCCACATTGTTTTGCAATCAGAAAATATTTTAAATGTTGAACATGATTTACATGAAAGCTGAAATGGCATCAATTGCATTTGATGTTCTTTTAAAAACTTTTTTTWAAAAGGGGATGAACTATAATTAAAATAGTAAACTTCTATAGGTTAGCTTCCCAAACATGCTTCTTAAAAGATAAATAATAYGTTAATATGCCAAGGTAAATAATATACTTTACTTTGGGATTTTTTTTATGTGAACTATATCTTGAAATCTGGGCCATATGAAATTGGAAAATACTTTTGACATACAAAGATGAACTTTTATGAAT